AACCCAACCAAATTATATGGGAGTAAAAAGACTCCCAAACACTGCAAAGACTTTGTACATACCTGAAGATCTGCAAATGCTATTTCAGGCTCCACCATCCAGAACTCTGCTAAATGCCTTGAAGTGTGCGAGTGTTCAGCCCGAAAAGTTGGCCCAAATGTATACACATTACTAACAGCACATGCATATGTTTCAACCTGTAGTTGACCAGAAACTGTCAAAAATGCTTGACGAGCAAAGAAATCTTGACTGTAATCAATCTTGCCATCCTTCTGAGGAATACCAGGTTTTAGCTTAGATCTATCAACCAGCTTTGAGAGATTCTCTTTTGCTTTGTTAAGTTCGGCCACAGCAGCACTGATATCATTCTTGCTTGCCTTAGCAAGTTTGAGATTTTTAACAGCCTCCCCTTTCTCACTGGCAAAAACTGTGGCAGCTTCTATATCTGCTTCTGATGGAGGAGGATTACTAATGAGGTCCTTTTCCAACTTTTCAGCCTCACTAATCAAGGTTGTAACTTGAAACATTTCCCCAGCACCCTCACAGTCACTGGTCGTTACAATTGGTGTGTGCACATATAGAAATCCATTCTCTTGAAAAAAAGAGTGAGTTGCAAAAGCAAGAGCATTTCGTATTCGAGCAACAGCAGATATCTAAATCCACACAAAATCATAAAAAAGTTATAAACAATATCTATAACAAAATCAAAACAAAGCCAAACAATATAATGTCATGAAAACCAGACATTAGATCTAACTTCTCTTCAAATCAGATTATATACTTCAAGCACTACAGTTTAACATCTATGGTCTCACAGCCAAAGCACAAATCATTGAAGAACAAACTATCCTTACTCCCATTAATAAGTGTGCATTGTTCAATCAAATGGTCTAAAAAAGAAAGAATACTCGAATATTGAGAGTTTAAGACCATAATTGTAATAAATATTAACCAACTCCTAAAAAGAACAATTGAACAAATATTTTCCAGTATTGCTTAAAATATTAAGCGTTTATACCACATCATAAACAAAAGAACGATAGAAAAAAAGGTAAAATATAAGAAATCAAAAAGAATCATAATTGATGAATCAATACCGTATTGGTCCTGGAGCGAAGATGGAGATGATCCCTTAAAAACTCAAGCGTGAGCCTAGTTTTTGGCAAAGGATACTTAGCTGGATCTACCGGACCCGCATGAATCACCTTCTCGACCCGAAGCTCAATTCTCTGCTTGGTACCCTCCGGTGGCACCTTCAAAATGCCGTCAACAACCACGCAAGTCCCAGTGGCAACAAGCGGACTCAGATCCGCAACGCCAGCGTCCACAATCACCTGCAAGTTCGCCGCACATGAGCCGTCGTTAAGCTCCAAGAACGCGAAAGTTCCTTTCCCTTGCTCTCTCCCCGTCTTGACCCAACCGCCGGCCCTGACTCGTTGCCCAGAGAGACCCTCCCCGCCGTCCGGCCTGCATACAATAGAACGGATCAAGACGCGGTCCGAGAACTTGTGCTTCTCAACGGCATCGCTCAGGGTCGTCGCCGCAAGTTGACCGGACGGCGGCGTAGTGTGGTCTGCTTCGGCCATGGAGGGTTTTGGGGAAAACAGAATAGAACAGAGGCCAGTGGCTATGACATAGGGAGAAGCTCGATAAACCCTAAAATGGAAACTTATATGGGAGTGGGGCGGATCGGGTGGCGGAAGGACCCGATGATGAGTGTCGCTAACGGTTTTACTTTGCGCCACGTGGATTATTGTTATTGGTTTAGGTAAATGAGCATGGGGCCCACCTCCAGCCGTATGTCTGATTTTTCTCCCGCGTGGAATCAGAGATTCTAATGCGCGTATTTCCATTAATGGTTTTTTAATGGTTTTTCAAAAGATGATTTTTTTGGTTTTCGCCTGTTATTCGGAGTTTTGCTTGATTAATTCGGACTCAACTTGCGTCGTGCACATAGAAATAATGGTGAGTGAGTCTCTCAGTGGGGCTGCTATCTACATAAAATCTCAAACTTAAAATCTTATTTAAATTGAAACAAACTGCTTACCACTTAATCCAATTCCTTATCGATTTTTCAAAAGATGATGTTATAACTAATATAAAAAATTTATAATAGAAATAAATTCTTTATTTAAAATATGTTTGACTTTGTTATATATATTTAATATTATGTTATATTTTTTTAATATTATATTTTATATAATATTTTAATTATACTATTTTTATTTTTTATATT